CCACACTGACCATCCCTCCTCCTTCCCGCAACAGGACCTTGCCCCTGACCTATTTTTTTCTTTTGCCTTCAATCTCCTTTCATAAAAGCTCTCCCCTCAAGCCCACAGGCCTACTATAGGCTCTGCTTCTCCTCCACCCTCTGGACGTGGTCACCATCTCCCAAGGATGGAGTGCACTTGCCATCTTCCCTGCTCCCTCAGCACACACTGTCTGGCCCCAACCCCAAGCTGCCCCTCTGTGACACCTGAGGGCTCAAGCCAGTGGGTCTCCTCAGCCACTCCCTGCCCCACAGTGTTTCCTGCTGGCCCCACACTCTTCCCAGAAGCCCTCCCTCCTCCCTTCTCTCTGGCCTTACCTCCTCAGCTTCCTCCCCCAGCTCCTCTTCCTCCACCTACTCCAAGGCCTGGGAGTTCCCAGGTTGGTCCTTGACACCCCAGCCTCCCTACCATCTGCACTGGCTCCTGGGCAGCCAGAGCTCCTCCACAGGCTCTGCACTGATGCCTCGCCACCCTCAGGCCAGGCAGGGCCTCTCAACCACCGAACCCATTTCCAGAACAAACCAAGTTACACACACACATACCACATCACCGCTTCAAAGACCCACAGGCAACTGGGAAGAGGTGCAGGGAAATTTCGGAGGGTGATGAAATTGTTCTATACCTGGATTGTGGTAGGGGTTATGTGACTGTGTGTTTGTCAAACTATATAGAACTGTACACTAAGAAGGATGAATTTACTGTATGTAAATTATACCTTAAACAGGATGGAAAAAAGTCCCATAGGCTCCCATCATGTCTAAAACTAAGATGACCACCTTCTCCCAAACCAGCTCTTCCTCCATCATCCAGCTCCTCCCCCAGCTTAGAAATCTCAGCCATATATCCAGCCAGTTAGTCAGTCTAGAAATTTCACCTGCATAAATTTCTTTGAATCCATGCCTTCGGTTCTATCTCCCCTTGAGGTCCTTCTCACAAACCACCTCCGTGGACTCCCACCCCTCCACATGTGCAACTCCAGAAAGAGCAGGACCCTCAAACTCCTTCACTCCCACCAGCTCTCCTTTCCACTGGCTCTCCCGAGTTCCTGGCTGTTGCTTAACAGGAATGACAGAAGTATCTCCAGATGCCACTGTCAAATCAAGACAACTCTCTGTCTAAATATTCCTGTCTAATTTTGCACACAGCTCTTGTTTCAACGGACAAAGATAATGACTCAGTGTCCATGGTTCTTACTGGAAAATTATCCTGCCAAGTTTTCAGCTTCCCAATAATAGCCTTCTTTAAAGTTCTCTTTGAGAAAGGAGAAGTGACCTTCCTTCCTGATCGTTTTCTATAAGCAAAAAAGGGCACCCAAAAGATCCCTTAACTGACCAAGGAGTGTTACGGGAAAATCCCGATACATCCCCACAGGATCAATTAACAGCAAGAAAGAGAAACTCATTGAATAGGCTTAGGATGGTTTTCCTTGCCCTGTGCAAGAAATCCCTGTTTTTCAGCGTTTCTGCATGCCTATCGGTTTGGGACTTAGAAATTTGGGGCATAAATTCTGGATTACACTGAAGGCAAAATTTACACTCAGAAGTAAAGCATCCTTCTCCATACACACATAAAAATACCTCTTTGATGAGCAGGCTGACCCAAGGAGAAAAGAAAAATAAAAGGCTCACTGACTTTGACACTGATGCTTCAAATAACTACAAAAGAACTCCACAGATTATTATACCCATGTCCACACTGCACCCTCAGATGGTATATGTAAAAATACATATGTTTGAAATGCACCCTGCCACTTACTCCCTGCAGATGAAGGCCTGGTCCCTTCCACATCACAAGACACAGAGATGTCTGAGCAAAAAGTGAGGATGAATAAAGCATCTCCTTGAAGAACCACTTGTGGATAGCTGAGTTAGCCTTTGTGCCAGCACTCAGCTTAAGTATGTTTCCTATTGTAAAACTGGCCCATAGTTACTCATGTGCAAATCCCCTAGTCTTGCAAAAGAAATGAGTTTCTCTTTCTTGCTGTTAATTGATCCTGTGGGGATGTATCGGTATTTTCCCGTAACACTCCTTAGTCAGTTAGGGGATCTTTTGGGTGCCCTTTGTTGCCTGTAGCCAAGAAGCTACCAGTCTTCCAATTCTCCAGCACCCCCAACCCAGGCAGTCACTGCCACACATCTAGCAGGCATAGTACATGCCCATGGATGTCTACCTCCTTTCTGCTTGCAGGTTTTGCCTCTGCCCTGCTAGGTGCACAGGTAGCCAATCTACATGGCTTTTACCACTGGGTTAGGGTAGGAGGCACAACACTACCCTTTGCCTAAACCTCTCACCTACTCACGGGCAGGTCCCAGAGGGGCCTCTGGCAGCATAGGACAACTCTTTTTAGAGTCTTACCTCAGTGGTTCTCAACCAAGGGAGATTTTGCCCTCCAGAGGACATGTGGCAATGTCTGGAAACATTTCTGATGGTCACAAGGGCTAGAAGGGGTAGGGAGTGGTGCTAGTCTAGTAGACAGAAGCCAGGGATACTGCTGCACATCCTACAATGCATAGGCCAAGCCCCCCGCCAACAAAGAATTACGGGTCCAAAATGTCATGAGTCCACAGGTTGAAAAACTTTGTCTTAGATAACACAGTGGCTCTGAGGGAGGTGCCCAGACTGCCTGGTTCACTTTTCCTTTGAGCTAGCTGCCCAACATTAGGCCCCAAATCATGATTCTGCATAGTCCGCACCATTTGCAAGGCTGAACAAAACATTCAAAGCCATTGTCTGAGCCTTTTTTTTTTTTTTTTTTTTTTTTTTTGAGATTGAGTCTCGCTCTGTCGCCCAGTGGGGAGTGCACGGGCGCCATCTTGGCTCACTGCAACCTCTGCCTCCCAGGTTCAAGCAATTCTCCCACCTCAGCCTCCTGAGTAGCTGGGATTATAGGCGCCCGCCACCACATCCGGCTAATTTTTGGTTTTTTTTTTTTTGTTTTTTTTTAGTAGAGATGAGGTTTTGCCATTTTTGCCAGGCTGGTCTCGAACTCCTGACCTAAGGTGATCCACCCGCCTTGGCCTCCCAAAGTGCTGAGATTACAGGCATGGGCCACTGCGCCCCGCAGCCTGATTCTTAAAGATGCTGCTCCTGTAGCTCCCCTTTTGTCTCTCGTCAGGAGAAAGGCCTTCCTCCAAAAGAAGAGTCTCCCAAGAGCCCTCCTGCCAGGACGACCCACCCATCCACAGCGTGACAACTAGCAAGCTGGCATCAATGAATGTTCAAATCCTTTGGCAATCAGGTAGGCCTGGCATGACCAGCTACTCAGTCCTGTCACGTAGATCCAAGGCCCAAGTGAACGTGCACAAGTTTTTCAACAGGCTGCAGGCCCAACTCAGGCTGGAAGACACTGCACAAAAGCCTCTCACCCTTCAGGAAGCTGACATATCTCACCCAAATGGGGAGTCCCAACACCCAAACCTGCCCCTGCAGCATTCCCCATCGCCCAAGGAGGGTTTGGCAGAGGGGCTGTTACCTCTGTGCAATGGGTGAGAATGAGCCTCGGAAAGGCTCCGAGTTTAGGGGAGTAAGCCCAAACCTTACTCACAAGACCCCCCGTGTTTGGAGAAGAGGAAAGGCCAAAGAAAAGCGAAAGGAAGAAAGGATCAAAAAGGATCCCCTGTCCCAAGTTCACCCAAAATTCCCACCTGTGAAGCCCAACAGTTGGCTCCAGCCAAGGAAGTCAAAGTTCTGACCCAAACCTGCAGCCAGGGGCAACGAGCCTAGAGCCCCAGACACTTAGAGCAAGGGGGTCTGGGAGTGAAGAACGACATTATTAGAAAGCGAAGCAGGAAAGCTGTATTGGCGACCAAAGGGCACGGGCAACGGGCGATCGGCAGCCGGAAGACGGTCGGGCAAGCAGCGGGCGTGTTCCAGGGACCCAAAGCTCTGCACGTGGCCCTCGTCTCCTCCCCGACGCAGGACCGTGGGGCTGAGGTGGACCCAGGGACGTGAGACGACTGCACAGGACCCACCCTGCACCTGAGGCGCCCCCTCTGCGTCCCGACCTGAAGCTCGCGGCTAGCGAAACTCGCGGGTAAGCTGCACTGTCACATGAAGAAAATGCAAGAAGGGCTCAGGTGGGTGTTGAACCCAGCTCTGGCCGCAGCCAGACGGCGCCCGGGCACTCGGCGGGCCGGCGGGTGGCAGCCTTACCCGGCTGCAGGAAGATGGGATCCGCGGTCACCTTCTAGCCCCCTCTGTGCCCGCCTCCGCGCGCTCGCCACCGCGCTGACGCCCGGCACGCGCTCCGGATCTGTTTACCAACTCGCCCGCTTCCAGGGAGGCCCAGCGCCCAAGCCCCGCCCCGCGGACCGCTCCCATTGGCTGCGCCGCCGGCCGCCTGCCGAATGCCGCTATGCGCGTGGGAGCGTGCTCGGCCCGTGCTCCCAGCCCATAGCCAATCGCGACCGAGGGCGGAGCAAGAGGAGCCAATGGGAGGCTACCTTAGGAGACAGGGCCCTCCCGTTCTCCTTCTCCCCACCTCCATGCTACCTTTCCTTCTAGCAAACGCGGGCTGGAGGCCTGGCTTTGGAGTTGGTGGCCTGCGCGCATGCGCCTTGAGAACGGGCGCCTTGAGAACGGGCGCCTTTTTCCCTGCGATGCGATGTGCGCGGCCGCAAAGGTTCCCTGTGTTCCTTCAGATTGGTGCTTGCTGGGCCTCCGCGCGGGCCTGGGAAGGGAGGCTGTGGACCGAACAGACGCGACTGTGGGCCGTGGAGGGTGCAGCCGCTTTAAGGACCGGGCGAGGCCTGTTCTTTGCTCCTCTCTATGTAGCAAGAGCCCCTTTCCCAGGGCCCACAAAAAGCACTCCGAGGAAGGGAAGCGCGGCGGGCAAGGCCGCGCACTTCCACCTCCGGCGTCGGGGCCCTTCAGGCTAAGGTTGCTTGTTTTGTGTGGCACCATCCTCAAAACAGGAAGCCTCTGCCACCCGCGCCCCTAGGGTAGAGAGATAGGACCCTCACCCGAGTCGCTGTCCGCCCGCCAGTCTCGTGGGCGTGCAGGTGTCCGCAGTCGCTGACGGCCGGGGTTTTGGGGGACGCGCAGCCCACACGGGATAGAGCTGGGGTCTAGCCCTCGGCGGCCCAGCCGAGCAACCCTGGGAGGCACCGCCACCACCAGCACGCAGATTTGCCCCGTCACTCCCTCCCTAACGAGAAGAGGAACGTGTGAGCCAAAGTCGGCTCGACAATTTCCACTGAGATGACCCCAAACACTTGTCTGTAGCTCTGTTAGTCGTTCTTGTGGAAAAGAGAGAAATAACAACTTAGTGAGTTTCTCATAAAATGAAATACTCAAGCCAAATGATTGTTCCTTATTCTGAGTCTCCCCCCGCCTTTCTTTTTTTTTTTTTTTTTTTTGGTATTGTGAAACGAAAATTCACTCTGCCAAAAGGAAAAAAATTAAGCTGAAAGCTGAGTCATGCAAGCAGCTGCCTTTCCTTTTGTTCCTAAGCAGATAGCTACAGATTAAAGGTGAAGTATCTCCACTCTGTATTCACCTTATCTTGTGTAAAGTGTCTATTTACTGAGCGCTAGACAAATACGTAATTGTTGCCCTACCTGCTCCCTTTATCGCAACATGTGGATTCAGTAATGTGAACATACCCTCCATCTTTCCTCTCCAGCCTGCTTTTCCCCTTTAAATATTGAAGCCCTCAAAATAATCTTTGGAGAAAGGCACAGACCTGTCTCCTGGGCGCAAGTCCTTCACCTTCATAACATAAATTTCTAAACTAATACAGGTACTTTTTGTTTCACAAGTATTGACATTTAACTTAATTGAAAGTCGTTTGTTTTATATTTTCCCTTGGAAAAATTTAAAGTTAGCTGTTCTATGTTGATGCCTAAAATTGGGGATGGAGGCTGCTTTATTATACTGAAATCCAGAACCTAACTTCACAGCCCCCGTTGACCACTTGGAGCTTGGCTTCCCAGAGATCTGCCTGAGTCCCCAAGAACAGAATTCTAAGTGTGTGTGATATGGGTGAACACAAGCTCTACGTCAGGCTCCGTTCTTCCCAGGTCTAGGAGAGGGCTTTCTTCCAAGGAGAATGGAGACTGTGCCTTGTGGCCTCTGTGGCTGGGCACTGGTCGGCTGGTGGGTGCTCCTCTCTGCACAGACCTTCACATGCCCTCCCCACAGTCCAAGTTCTGCCTCCCCCACCTTCACCACACTAAATACAAAGTAAATGTTAAAGGACAATTAAAGAGTTATTTTGACTAAAGTTTCAAGTAACTGCCCCAAACAGTTGACAACTTGCCTTGATTAGGTCAGCTGGCTCCATTTTCCCACACAGGAGAAAAAGACCAAGCCTCAAGGCCTTTCAAGGGTGGCCGTTGCTTCCTCCTACAGTAACTGTTCCCTTACACAGTTCTGCTGTTCCCTGCCCGCTTCCTCCAAGCCCTCCCAGCCTAGTGATCCAGACCACAGTCCATGGAATAAGAGAGTTCCTGGTTCATTACTTCCTGAATCTTGCGAACTCTACCCCATCAGATTTGAGCTGGATGAGAATGTGATTGTCATCAACTCCTGCTTCTGGTAAGTGGGGAGAGGATGTGGTGCTTTAGTTTCACAAACGTGGGGCGGGAATTGGCCGCTTCCATGCTAGCTCAGTCCCACTCCACCAGCAATGCCAAGGCCAGCTTCTCTCCTAAGATACCTTGAAAACAAGCGTAACTCACCACCACAAACATTAGTTTTTCTTCAAGGACTGCCAGTCTGATTTACTAGAGAAATGACCTCCAGCTAGTCTATGCAAAGACAGGATCTTCTTCCAATTAATACGACTTTGACCTTACTCCCTGTTAAATAATGACCTCAGCTTTACTATACTGAAGACACATTTCTTTCTTTCTTGACCTGGCTTTTAGTGCAAAGATTTTCCCTGCAAATTATTTTTCAGGTGTGATAATGGGATTGTAGTTAGATTTTTTAAAAGAGTCGTTGTGTTTCAGAGATACACATTATCAGCTGAAATAATATATATGGGATTATCTTCAAAATATTACAGGACAGGGGAAGTGAACAGGCCATGGGTTTCTTTACATTACATGCCTATGTGACAGGTGAATTTCTACCCTGGCTTACCTTTAGGAAACAGGATACCTGTGGTCAGAAGGTGCCCCACATGACCAAACACTGGTGAGATCCAAGATGGCAGCTCACTTGACCTCTGAAGAACTTCTAACTTCATTATAATCTAATTTCCATGCTAAATGACTTTCCCACCAGCATCATGACAGTTGATAATCACCATGACAATGACTGGAAGAAACCATAAAACGACAAAAAAAAAGGAAGGTAATACTCTAGTTTTGAGAAGTTCTCTGTCCATTCCCAAAAAGACATGAATATTTATCCCCTAGCTTTTAGTGCCCAACCCCTTCATTAAAGAGGCTCTATATTTGTGACTTCCTGACTTTCACAAGCTGAGAAGTTAATTCGTGAACCAAGCTCCTTATTCTCAATTCCGTGGCCATCCAATAAAGCCTGCACTACTTGACACTTGCTTTTGTTTTTCCAAACTGGCTTTGGGACACCAAAGAGGGAAAGACTCCATTTTGTGGGGGACCAGCTTTGTAGGTAACAAGTTGATAATAGTGGAAGATGAATGATGAGTCTACTGGGGTTCATTATATTATTACCTACATATGTTTGCAATTCTCTATAATAAAAAGTTTTTTTAAACAAGGTGTCTGCAAAGAAAGCCCAGCCTGAAGATAACACTAATAATGTGGGCAGGGTGAACAAGAGGAAAACAGTGAGTAACAGTCATTACTATTCTTGTTAACCTCACTACAAGGCAAGGTCAAGGACAGATCTAACTGTAGCCAATAATACAGCCTTTCAAATTTTGAATAAAATTCAAAATTATCAAGAAAACATTTGAAACATAGATTTCATTCATGGGGTACCTCACTCTGATTGTCTGTTATGCCTGAAAGTATTAGTTAATGATCATATACTGCCATCTTAGTTAAGACATTTTTTAAAAATGTATCTGTGAGTACAGTATTATGTAATATAAACACACTCAAACAAATGTGTGTGTGTGTGTATTTTCCCAATAATCAAAGATTCCTGTGCCTGGGACTTTAGGGTGAAAAGTATGATACTCCAATAACTTTCCTCTGATCTTCAAACTTCTCCCTTAACAACAGTGACAGAGGAGACAGTCAGTTTTTCCCACTCTGCGGCATTCCCATCAACATACAAATCCATTAAAAAATCTCCTGGGCTCACCTCCATTCTCATTTCTCTGCTCTCATTTTCAGCAAAATTCTTGGAAGAATTATCCATATTCATTATCTCCACTTCCTTTTCTCCTATTCTACCTACAGCAATCTAGTCAGGTTTGACACCTGTCCCCACCATTCCCCTAAAACTGTTCATCAGTGACCTTTCTGTTGCCAAATCAAATGGTCATTCTCGGATCTCATCTTAAACTATCAGCTGCATTTGACACAGTTGATCACTCCCTCCCTCTTTCTTATGGGTTGCCCTGGGGATTATAATGAACATCTTATAACATTCTAGTTTGAATTAATGGTAACTTAATTGCGATAATATACAAAAGCTTTGCTCCTATATAGCTCCCTTCTCCCCTCCTTTGTGCTGTTATTGTCATACAGATTACATTTTTATCCATTATATGCCCATAACCACACATTTATAATTATTGCATATTTATGCTGCCTTTTATATTTACCTATGTAATTTCCTTTACCAGTATTCTTCATGTCATGTGAATTTGACTTAATGCCTCAAGTCCTTTCAGCCTGAAGAGGACCTTTTATTTCTTACAGGGAAGATTTGCTAAGTGATGAATTTCTTCAGTTTTTTGTTTATCTAGGAATTCCTTGATTTCTCCTTTATTTCTGAGGGATAGTTTTGCTGGATATAGAAAGCTTAATTAAGGGGTGTTTTTTTTTTGGTTTGTTTGTGTTGTTTTTTTTTCGGTAGCATTTCATGTCATACCACAGCCTTCTTGGCCTCCAGAGATCAGATGTTAATCTTATTGAGAATCCTAATACAGGGTAAGTTGGTTTTTTTATTTGTGTTCTGCTAATTTCAAGACCCTCTCTTTGCCTTTGGTTTTCAACAGTTTGATTATCATGTGTCTAGGTGTGAATCTCTGAGTTTATCCTATTTGAAGTTCAGTGTGCTTCTTGGACATGCTTTTTATCAAAATAAAAAGCATGCATATTTATACTTTTTATCAAAATTGGAAGTTCTCTTCTACTTCTTCAAATATTCTTTATGTCCTTTTTCTCCCCTCTCCTTCTGGGACTCCCATTGTAAGTATGTTTGTATGCTTGATGGAACCCACAGATTTTTGAGGCTCTGTTTGTTTATTCCCTTCATTCTTTTTTTTTTCTGTTCCTCAAATTGGATAATCTCAATTGTCCCATTTTCAATTTTGCTTATTCTTTCTCCAGCCTGCTCTAATGTGCTGTTGAGCCCCCACTAGATTTTTCATTTGTTATTATATTTTTCAACTCCAGAACATCTGTTTGATGATCTTAAAAGTAATTTGTTTTTATTGATATTCCCTATTTTGTGAGAAAAAAAATTGATACTTTTATTTTGTTCTTTAGACATGGTTTCATTTATTTCTTTGGATATATTTAAAGTAGCTGACTTAAAGTCTTTGTCTAATAAGTCCAATGGTGGAGACATTATCTGTATTCCTATTGATTGCATTTTCCCCTGTGCATGGGCCATACTTTCTTGTACCTTTGCATGCCTCGTGCTTTTTGTTGAAAACTGGACATTTTAAATAATATAATGTAGCATCTCTGGAAATCAGACTCTCCTCCCTCCCGAGGGTTTGTAGTTATTGCTCCTTGTTATAGTTGTTGTTCTTTGTTTAGTGACTTTCCTAATTTGTAAAGTCATCATGATGTTACTGCTCCACAGATAATAAGTATATGAAATTCTCACATTTTGCACACCCAAAATCAACTAGTTAACTTTAATGATTTCATCCTTCATTTATAAATGACACATCAAATATAGTCTTTCTTTATAATACCTGGAAAATCATTTTATACACTGGCTGCAACATTTTCTCATTAACACTAGATTCTAAAGCGGAAGAGCTGAATTTTCTCTATGAGAAGTTGATTAATCACAGTTTTCAGATCTGCAGAAAAAGTCCTGAGGCATATTTGTAGAATAATAATTTTCATGCTCCACATTACCTAGCTGTGTTCAACAGCAACATTCTTTTTGATTCCTGGGCCATTTGGGGTATTAATTAAACATGGTTAATAAAAACAGGCCAGGCACAGTGGATGACGCCTGTAATCCCAGTACTTTGGGAGGCTGAGGCGGGTGGATCACCTGAGGTCAGGAGTTCAAGACCAGCCTGGCCAACATGGTGAAACCCCGTCTCTACTAAAAATAAAAAAAAAAATGATCTGGGCTTGGTGGTGCATACCTGTAATCCCAGCTACTCCAGAGGCTGAGGCAGGAGAATCACTTGAACCTGGGAGGCAGAGGTTGCAGTTAGCTGAGATTGCACCACTGCACTCCAGCCTGGGCTACAGAGGGAGAATCCATCTCAAAAGAAATAAAAAATA